GTCAAAAGCGTCAGGGCCAAAAAAGGAGGGAGACGTTCCTGCTGCAAAAATTGCATGGAACTTGCTAGAGGCTCACTGGCGACTACATCCATCCCGAGCGCAAGCGCGGAATACGGCGGGAGCGCCCTGTCTGCGTGACCAAAAACAGCCCCGCGATGTCGCGCCACCTGGGGCGAAGTGAATGCCCGACTGGCCGGAAGACGCATGCAATGCGCAGACCAAATCCCTTCTCCCGTTTCTCCCTCGATTCCCTCTCCTCACTGCGCAGGTGGCGGAAAAAGAAGGGGACGACACCCAAAAGAACGCCGCAACGAACGGGAGTATCCACCCCACAACACAAATAAAAAATAAAAAGAGCGGAGACAACCCAAACCACCAAAAATAAGTACGCAAAGAAGAGTTAAAAAAGAGCCAATGCGTATGCAAATTTCGAGATTTCGGGTAACGCCTTAAAAGAAAAAAAAAGGGGGAAAAAAAAAAGCCTTTCAACACAAAGACGCCAACACACACAGACAGACAAACCCAGAAAAACTAAACAACAACAAAAAGAAAATGTAATGCTCCCCGCCAGTCAAACATTAACTGCATGCGAAGTATGGGGCAGAAACGCACACGTAATGCCTCGCTCAAAAGTGCGGCGAGGTACACCCCAGACAAAGCTCTAAGCCACGCCTCCAACACGGGCGTGCCATCCCCTCATTTCTATAAACGGTAACTGAGAATAAGGGAAGGAAAAAAAAAAAAAAAAAGAACACATCGCAATACTCAACGTGGTATTGAATGTGAATAAGAAAAAGAATAAAATAGTAATAATAACAATAAATTTGACGCATATTGCCCACTTCATTGCAAGTACTTCGCCACTAAGAAGATATTTGTCAGACGCATTTGGATTGCAGATTCAACAAGAAAAAAACCCACACAAAAACAGAAAGAATTCTTCAACTCATTCCCCTTCCCATCATTCCCCCCAAACCCAGGATCCCTCCGCTTTCCCTCCCCCACTAATCTCCCCACACCAGTAACATGTTCCCTACAGGCAATTCCTTCCTCTTAGTGTCCCTAGATCCTCCAATACAACCGCTGCTGCTAACATCATCATTATTGTCACCGTGAGTAACAACTGCAAATAATAATAATAATAATAATAATAATAATAATTTACACGATCGTTTCTGGACGCTTATCTTCTGGAAGCGGAAATCCAGGCACCATATCGTATACAATCTCATCTGGGATAAGTTTGTGGCCGATTGCATTCGTCATAGTGCCTTTTTCCCAATTAGTAGGAGAAAACTCAGATCGCATAAGAGCCCTGTTAGGCTCGCGCCACATCATCGGATTTGCGGGGTCCCTTTCATCCCACCCACTAAGTCGCTGTGACGCTGCCATTGTCCAATAAAAAGAGTTCATATACGTGGGAAAACCCAAGTACAGCAAGCTAGGGAAAAACTTCTTGTCTTCAGCCGTGTAATCCTTCGTTAGCTCCATAAACTTTGACTTCAAAAGTTGACTCCGATATGTCTCGTACGCGCGGCACACAACCCAGGCTTCCTCAAACTCGTGGCAATTTGCCGTTCCCCACGTGACTGGCTTCAAATTTTTAATGCATCGGTGAAGTGGCACCCATCGGTGAACACACTGGTCCCGAAATATTATGGGAACATTATGCAACTCCATAAAATTGCGGGACACCGACATGGGTCGGCGCTGGTGGCCACGATCGGCACCGAACGGATCCAGCATGTTCCAGAGCAAAGGATTGTCGTAGGGCCCAAGATTGATGGGCGGCATCGGGTCCCCGGGCTCCGTCCTCTCGAGATCCTTCAAATACTCCGTCATGATGAGAAAAGCTGAGACCTACCAGAAATGCAAACAAACAACCACCACCACCACCACAACAACAAGAAAACATGGATATGTACGCATATGTATACATACACACATCGCCAATACATGCAACCATGCCAGTCCCGAAAACACGAGCAGACAGACATACAGACATATATATATATATATATATATATATTTGTATAAAGAAGGAAGAAAAGAACACTCTGAAAAACAAATAAAATACGACCGAGTTGTCAACGCTGCACCAAACCAAGAAAATCAACAAATAAATTGTCCGTAAAAATAAATAAATAAATAATCAATACTAAAACAAAAAACAAAAAAAAAAAAAAAAAAAAAAAAAAGGATCCACTAAAAAAAAAAAAAAAAAAAAAAGAAAGAAATATGTGTGCCTGACTGATACCCGCTCTTCCATTTCCCACAGGAAGAGATGAAAGAACGAGGGACCAAAGTCTGGTTAAGTTTACCCAGTGCCCCCCCCAATTCAGGGAAGACGCATCCAACACCCATTGCCCCCGTGAACCAATTTATAAAACACATGCTGTAACAACCCGGGTTGTTACAAAATCACAAATCGGAATCCTTTAACAACTCCTCACCCCCTTGTATTCCCCTCCGCGTGGAGGGCATTAGAACAGGAGGGGGGGGGGGGGGAACAAAAACAAAAATAATAAATATGTAAATGTTTACGCGTGAAGAAAAGAAGCGGCACTCACACACACGCACACAAACACACATAAAAAAAAAAGGAAAAACACCAAATTAACGTTTTGCTGCATTTTGTTTTCCTCTCGCCATTGGCTCAAAAAAAGTTGAGAGCACACAAGAAGATTTCAAAAGTGAGAGAAAAAGGAGTAGAACCCCGTTGCTTCACGATGCGCTCATAGCTTTCCTTCAACACCCTGCCAGAGAGAAGCAACAAAGGCACCGTCGCCAAGAACCACTGGGTACACATCGCAGACAAGGCCAAACCTGGAATTAAACTTTTGCTGCACGTTTTTCACAACACGTTCCAAGGCATTCTTTTTAAGAAGAAGGAGAATACATCCGCCAAAACCACCGCCCATCAATCGTCCTCCGCTCACGCCCTCTTCAAGATTAATGGCCCGATGAATAAAATTCAATTCCTCGGTGGATATCTTCAAAAGATCACGCTGTCCTTGATGGGTTGCATTCAGTAGCTCGCCGGCCTTTCGGAAACGCTCCTCCTGGCTCAAAAGACACTCAGGTCGACAGAGCTCAATAAACTGAAGGGTGCGAATCTGCTCGGCAATGTTAAAGATGCCACGGTCGTACTGGCCAGGGGTAAAATGCGGTCTGCAGGACTCCACAAATGCCACTGGATCTTTTGTGAACTTCTTGGGATTTCTGGCAAGATCGCGGAAAGTAAATGCCGCATTATTCATCTTATGTTTCCTTACAACCGCCTGTGCACCTTCAGCATCTGAGCGTAGTGTGTTATATCCACCAGCTGTCGAGCCCGTCAATTCATGACGAATCATGGAATTTATCAAAAGGAAGCAGGCGGAGTCTCCAAGCAGGTAGGACAATGGGTGGGACTCAAACGTTAGGGAATCACAGTCCAATGCCATGAATGAGCCCTCCGTGGCGTGAATGGCCGAAAATTGATCCATGATACCTACGTTGACTCCACAGAATTCTGTCTCGATGCGATGTGCCTGTTTTGTCAATTTAATCCTTTCCTCCCTGCTGCAGGGAGGGAGAATCGGAAACCGGGTTCCAGGCACGTAGCACTTCCCACGGTATCGCCGCGTTGCCACGGTCGTGATGGCATTCAAAAGGGCCACATCAAAGGATGCGGAAGCACTCATGCCAGATCCCATAGGCAGAGTTCCCTTCGAGATGGCGCAGAAGCCCTGCAGCTCTGGAGCGTCGATGGGCATTCCAAGGTCGTTCAGAGCCAATGTAGCCGCACCACGAACAAAAGTCCTCCAATTCTTGTCGTGTTTCGCCTGCCCAAGACGATCAAGGACAAAACATTCATCGTCTTCTCTCGCAAAGCGTAACTTCCCGTCGCAGAGGTGTCGAACACGGCCAACAAGAATGTGGCAGCCCTCCTTGAGGGCGGCGGGACACACATACCCGCCCATGTAGTCCACATGCTCACCAAAGAAGTTCACACGGCCGGGGGCGAAGGTGAAAAGAAGCCACTCGACGTCGTCTTCAGCGACAACATTAAAGGTCCTCAGAAAATTTAACTTCAGCTCCGAAACGGTGGCATGAATTCGTTTGTCTGAGTAGCTCGGCATGCTTTGTTTTTCAAAGATGGCAAACAGTAAATCCTCTTTTTTCGACAACTCATCTCACACACAATAAAACAAAAAAAAAAAAGAAAACGGCAAAAACTCCCGCAGCCATGAAAACAAATAATAACACATCATTGCAGCGGACACAAGAAGACACACACAACGAAGGGTAACAACAAAAGCAAAACACTAAAAACCAAGAACGCCCAGTGGTGAGTGACTAACACAAAAACAAAAATAAATAAATAAAAAACACCAAAAAAAAAAAAAAAAAAATAGATTCATGCAAAAAAAAAAAAAAAAAAAAACATGCTCCCGGCTGAGGCCTTGTCCTTCATTCCCATAAAGTGAAGGGACAGCAACAAGAGGGAAACGAGAGTTTGGTTCAATGCGCCCAGCATCCCTCCGCTTCAAAAACGAGTTAACCCGCACCCACACTCATACAGTAGTAAACCGATTCCAAATATATTTGCCGTGATAACCGGGCTCGTTGTGAACTCACGAACTGGCAGTTTTCACAGTTTCCTCAGCCCCTGTTGCCCCCTCCACGTGGAGGGTAAAAGCGAGAAATGCGTGGGACAACAGAAAAGGGGAAAAAGTAGAAGTTGCACTTGCTGCCCTACAAGTCGGTATCTTTGGAAACAAGCACCGCATTGCAGGTAAAGGGGCATGTCAGGTGGGCAAGAAACCCTCTTACTCGTTCTTCCTCACATGGCCACACATCCTTCCCACACGCTTCCAAGGTCAAAAAAAAAAAAAAAAAAAAATTACTAAAAGTCGCCGTCCTCACTCTAAACAAAACGTGGCAAATAAGGATCCCACACACAATCGGACCGTTGCCCCATTCAAAAAAAGAGATTTGGGCGTATTTCTAAATTCCTAAAGGTGGGATTTCAAGTGGCGGTGAACGACACGGCGCAAGTGAATGACGTTCTCCTGCCTATTCTTGGCTTTGAAAACGGCCTGTCCTGGAACCAAACAGTTGGCCCCTGCTAATGCCGCCTCATTCACAGTATCGAGATTAATAGAGCCATCCACTTGAATGTTCAGGTGGGGGTACCGTCCACGCAGCTGACGCACTTTTGCAAGAGGCCCCGACAGAAATTTTTGCCCCGCAAATCCAGGCTCTACAGTCATGACAAGTGCCATATCCAAATGACCGTTCTCAATAAGTGGGATAAGACCGTCAATTGCGGTGCGGGGACTAATTGCAACACCTACTTGCATACCAGCCTCACGAATTTTGCTTGCCAAAGCAACTGGCTCCTGTGTGGCTTCAATATGAAATGTAAACTGCGATGCCCCCGCATCAGCAAACGGACGTACCCATTTTTCAGGCTCCGCCACCATAAGATGGACGTCAAGGAAGACGTGGGGAAGATGGCGACGCAGCCCAGCCACGGTGTCTGAGCAGAACGACATGTTTGGCGCAAAATGGCCATCAATAACGTCAACATGAAGCCACTCCACAGCACCGCCCTCGGGAGACAACACGTGCAGGGCTTCCAACAGAAGTTGTGTTGGGTCTGCCACCATAATTGAGGGTGAAATGATGGGACGGAGAGGTTTCTTCCTCCGGCCGGACAAAAAAGTTGATTTGTCCTGATGATCAAAGCTGCACATACCTCCTCGCTTCCTCCCTACTCTTGGCTCTCTTGGGCGTCTTCGCAGTGCCTCAGCGGACAAAAACGATAACAACAAAAGGGTGGCAAGCCGCCGCAAACAAAAAGGCACAACCCCCCAAAAATTGCCTCAAAAGAATTCCCCACTCTGGCAAATTCATCTTTCAGAAACACGCAGCTCGGACGGGAAGGGGTGACAAAAATAATAACGAGAAAAACACACACAACAAAATTGTTTAATCTCATCCACACCTTCCAATTACTTTTAAGTCTGGAATTCCGCGGTACAAGAAGCTGTTGACTCGTCCTCTTCCTGTTGCCCGCCGATATTTTTAAATTCCTGTCCTTTCTCGGGTCCGCCCTAAATCTGCCAGACCGCACATGCGGCACTCGCAGCACACACACACACACACACACACAAATACATATCCTCTCCCTTCTTAGCAAGGGGCTAAAATGAGTCAATAGCATCAAGACGATAAAAGTAGAAAGGGGGCTGTTGCAAGAAGCCCAAGGAGTCCTTGAGTGGCCGGACGCACCTGAACTGCCTGCGGGCACAGCGATGAAAACACAGAGTACACACGGTCCATCCAGAAACCTTCGTTAAGTGCCTCCCTAAGCCGCGGTGCATTGCTTGGCAGGAGTGTCATGGCGTACACCATAAACGCAATGCCCTCCATAAAAGAAAGAAACAGCTCCTTGTAATGCCGCTTGCGAATGACACTCTGAGTGTCTGTGGCCTCAAACGAAATGCGCTGCATCGCCTGAAGAAGTGCAGCACTTGTTGCCGCCTTCAACAAGTTGTAGTAAAAAAAAAATATGGGAACCATCCGGGCAGCATGCGGACGCCACAATTTACTCAACACGCCGCCAGCAGCTAACAGCTCCACCTCTTCACTCGCCAAGAACAGTCCCAAGAAAATCGTTGTTACAATTCGTGCAATGCCGGTAAAAAAACCCGGTGATGTTCGCATCGTTCGGCGCACACCTGCCGGCGAAAGCTCTAAGAGAACCACAAGCCAGTTGCACACTCGGGTCACAGAACCGTACTCCGACAGCAACCTCGCAAGCGACTTCGCAGAACGTTCAATGGACCTGTGTCCCACCGACCCCGCCACCCCACTCACCACCATGCTACAGAACTGAAGAACTGCTGGAACCCTGTCGCGGCGCCATGCAATTGAAAGACACGAGTGGGGTAACGCAGGATTCATGGCTTTTGCTCCTCATCGACACATACACAGAGAAACACGGGGTAAAAAAAAAAAAAAAAAAAAAAAAACGCAAAAAGCATGGGCCAATAATAAAAAAAACAGCAACAGATGCGCCAGCACACACCACACACATGCAAAGGAATATCAGAAAAACAAAAACAAAAACAAGAAGGAAATAAAATTAAGAAGGGAACAATAACCAAAAAAAAAAAAAAAAAAAGATAGAAGTTATTTAATAAAAGCTTATATGAAAAACAAACATGTAAAAGAAAAAAGATGGAGTAAACACACATGCCCCGCTCACACAAGTATGCACAGCCACAAAGATAAACAAAAACATCCTGCCGATAATAATAATGATAATAATAAAAAGAACGACAGTCCGTAATAAATGCCTTCATCCATTTTGAAAGAAGCACCAACGCATACATATGCATAAAACTCCACCTCTCACCACACCCACACGTCTTCAGAAAAAAAAAAAAAAAAAAAAATTCCTCCGCAACAACCATAACAAAAACCCACAAAAAATATGCATCATACAAACGTAAAACCAAACATATGACGTCCAACCAAACAAATTGCTGCTTCTCGAAATCTCCACTACAAAACAACATTACCTAAAGCACACACAAAAAACAAAACAATCAGTAAAAAAAAAAAAAAAAAAGCATCACCATCTCAACAAAAAACAAAAACAAAAACAAAACATTAGGTAAAAATCAAACATAAAATTTCGGTTTCCCACAAATCCTTACTTTTCACTCTCTCGTAATAGAAAACAAATAAAACAGAATCCTAATAGAAGTCGCACAATGAGGCGGTGGCGGCCAACAAACCACGCACAGTGTCACTCAGGTGCAGCTTGTTAGGGGCAATCGCCCTGATCAACTCGTGCAGGGGCACCAAGGGACCACACACGTCCTGCAGCAGCTTCGGCCTGCCCTCAGGCAGACACGTCATTGCAAACACGGCAAAGCAGCTCATCTTCACCAGGTTCACCACAGCGCGCTTGCACTCCTCGTGCGTGTACGGGACAACCTTCTTCTCCGCATCCTCCGGTAAAAGGGCCTTGCAGGAACCCCTGGGGCTGTGCTTTGCCAACAGGTATGCCTGGCGGGCAATACCCAGAAGAAGCGTGTACAACCAGCAGACCACGGCAACACCACCAAAGCGCGTCAGCCCCGAGTTAAGCACTCCTCGTCCCGCAAGCACAGCCGTGTGCTCGTTGAGGCAGAAGCCAATGTGGAACGCGTGCGAGACCTGCTCAAGGCGCCAGACGAGGGCGTCTCCCTTTGGCTTCGTCAGGTCCTTCAAAGTCTTGGATGACAGCGCATTGAGCAGCAGTGACAAACGGGTGACCGCACGGTACGAATCCGCCATCTTTGACAGATTGCCCAGAGACTCGGCCAGTGAGTCACAACCGGCGTTGCGGACAGGGCCCTCCAGCGCCATTGGAAGAAACTGCACAATCGCCATGACCTTGTCGCGGTTCAAGTGTCGGAGAGGTACGTATGTGCACAGGCAGACATTGTTGGGAGTGTTCTTTGCTTTTTCTCTTTTTATTTGTATTTGATCTGTTTGTG